GGGGGAAGGAGGTGGGGGGGGAGTGAGGGGCGGGAGTGAGGAGCCGGCGAGAGGAGCGGGAGGAGCCCCGCGCGCCCCCGCCAGAAAACAAGCCCCGCCCACCTCCGCGCGCGCGCGCCGCCGGCCCCGCCCACGCCGCCGGATTGGCTGCGCGTGGGCGGCGCTCGGAGCCCCCTGGCGGCCGCGCTGGGAACGGCCCCGGGGCTGGAATTGTGAGGGGAGCGGGAACGGCGGGGGGAGCGGGAATGAGGGAGCTGACAGAAACGTCCCTGCCGTCAGGAAGCACCAAACACCACTTCTCCGGTGTCCGCCTCAGTTCAGAAAAAGACAAGCCCGCAGCAGAGGCGGGTGTTTATCGCCTGCTGCACTGCTGGTCCAAGAGCCGGGTGTCTGGCCGTGCCTTTTGGAGGGTTCCGTCACAAACGGGATGTTTTCGAGTACAATGCCCTCAGACAACAGTGTGCTACTGCCAGGCCACTATCAGGACCAGGACCAGAGCCATTGGAACAGCTATTCAGTTCATTTCTGACACATATATTGCGTTTATGTCCTAGCGAGTATCCTCCAGATTGTCATACCAGCCCTCTCCAACCTATGAATACAGCATGATGAATAAGGACTCAAACACTGTTCGCAATGTCCTCTCCTGTGCCAGGACAAGCTGTTGATTGTTTTTCTTCCCCTTCCACCAGTCTCTGCCCTGAGCCCGGTTCCCGCAGAGGGCACGGGCACGTCCTGCTGTCCTTGTGGGCACTGGGGCTCCCAGGTGAATGTTGGTTTCTGGCTGTGCGCTCAGGTACCAGACTGCCTCGTCTGCCCTTTTCCTTTCCTCCTCAGTATTGCAGTTATGACTCAGAGGGTGGATTTGTTTCCTTGTTCTCCAGCCTATACCAGTCCCTTGGTGCAGGTGTTTCTCCAGAGATACAACAAAGACAGGTTTATTTTTCATATAAACTGTGACTGCTGCCAAAATGCAAATATGTTCTATGTAGGCACAACATCCGGATTTAATTCCTGAATTCAGAACAAATCCAAACAACCAGGACCTTGAGCTTACATTTGGATTTTTAATTTTTTTTCCTTAATTGATAAGGTCCAGACATAGCCTAACACAGAAAGGTATTTGAGGAGGATTCATAACAGCAGGGGGCTCTGCTGAGTATAGTAACAGTATATTGTAAATAAATTAATGACTAGAGCTCGCAGATATCTATGACAATACCCTGCTTTTCTTCATAGAGCAAATAGTCAGCTGTTCAACTACTCCATAAAAACAAAAATGTTTTCCTTACTGAATGCAAACAAGACAGTTCCTAGCTAGAAAACTGATTTACCATACAGTATTTTTCATGTTATTCTAATTTTTAACATATAACTTTTGTGTTCTGAAAGTCCAAAACTATTTCTTTTACATAATTTCAGAGGCTTAATCCAGCACTGAGATAAAAACAAGAAATATAGTTTTAAGGGTACAGCTACTTTCTCTCTTAACAGAGTCGAGGCACTTTGCAAGACCAAGCCTCACTTAAGATGTGTTTTACACCAATTTAAAATTGAAAATAAGAAAATTATGCAATGTTTCTATCTTATGAAAAGCTACACATGAGTTTTTAAGTACCTGATAGCTCCTTTTCTTTGCTGTTGTCACCAGAGGCTCCAGCTGAACTGAATGGCCTGAGATGTTTCCACTGCCTGGAACATCAGCTGCCTGCACATGGCAGTATTTTGGTGTGCAACTATAATTTTACAAGGAAACAAAAATTCTAAAGTAGGAGCAAGTCACACACCCAATCCACCTTAGAGTGGGAGAGAGAAGCACTCCTGAGTTGTATTTCTGCTCAGCACTCCAGGCAATTTGGAAGTATCCTACTCTCCTGTAGTGTCCCCTAGGAGAGTTGACAGCCTTGGGCTCTTGTCAGCCCCAATGTGCTGACAAAACACAGCAAACTGAGAAATTAAATTCCTAAAGTGCTGTGCAACCTTGTGTGAAAAAGGTTATAAAACACATCCTGGTTAAGTAACAACTTCCTAATTAGTCAGCTATGGTCAGCAGGGGTTTTGTTCTTTCCACAGCCAAAGTACTATCTAGAGAATTCTTAAATTATATCTAAAATACAAGATTAGGATGCATGAGAGCAAAATTACAACTAATGGGAAGAGTTAAATTATAATATTTGCAATGTTACCATGAAAGAATTGAAGTTGTAATGGGACAGTATTCAACTGGCAAGAAGAAAGTACTGTATAAAAAAATTCACTGGTTATACAGACAAGCTTCAATCCTATTTTCTTATTCTGATTTTGGTAATTTTGATAATAACAATAGTTTATAGTATTTAATAATGTTACTGTATCACCAGTAGATTTCAGGATAGCTATAATCTGAGTCCCCTCTGAGTCTTTTCATAGGCAGAGTCGTGCCTAGCAAGTCCTTTGAGATCCCATTACTCTGAATTTGGGCAAGACCAACATTTAAGTGGCACAAATGTTGGCTTTGTTCTCCAAGTACAGCTAAATATTGAGTATTTCCCAATTACAAAGCATTTTTCAATTCACAATGTTGTTAAGCATTGATGCCTCTCTGATGCCTCTCGGTGTTAGGAAGCCCAGGCTTAGGCTGACTCCTGCCTCAGGCTCAGCTGAGCACATTAATGCTTGCCTGAGAAAAAAAAGGCCACAGCCTCAGATTTTAAAAAGAAGCTTTTCTTAAAATAGCAATACTTTAAACTATCTAATAGCAGTAGCACCTACTGTTCCCTTAGAAAAGGCTTCTAACATTTTATTCTCACATATTAGGCCTTTTTTGTGGGAAACTTTATAAAAATCCACATGGCGTTCAGTTTGGTTTCTACCAATGAATATAGTTTCACCAAAAGCTTACATTATTTTCATGGAGCATCTTTTCAGTTAGTTCTTATGAAGAGAATTCAATAGATTAATTTACACATTCCATGTGACTTTGGTTTTTGGGTAGGAGGTTGGGCTTTTTTTTCTTCCTCTTTATCATGAGATAGTGAGTTGTTAAACATTAAGGTATGAAGTCACTTAACTTTTGCAGTGGACTGCACTGAACTTTACACCAAATCTTAAAGTTTTTGTTTAGTTTGGAGAATAGTAGAAACAGTCACTTGTCTGAAGATGCTTCTTATATTCTGAACTGCTATCATGAACAGTAGTCCACAGTAAAAAAAAAAACCCAAAAAAAACACCCTCCTTACTTGTACAACACAGAATACAGAAAACCTTTCTCTTTTTGTCTGAATAAACGTAATTTTCCTAATGTGGTTTCCATTTACTTAGTGTGCTCAAAGATTCTCAAATATCATTAAAAACACTTTGGCATTTTAAGCTATTGAGAGCAGTTTTCTATGCAGAGTCTTTCTTTCAATGAAACAGCAGCAGCAGAATGAATACTCAGTTACCACATGTCATTATTGTAATCATGGGGTTTAAACTATGCAACTATTCATGGCAAAGCAGCTTGTTGAAGGTCTGTCAGAATGGAAACATGTGACAGCAGCTGTTATTCTGTTTATAGCCCTTATTTCTCCACGTCTCCATCTCCCTTTCCATGTATTTATGCATTTGCTGCTGTTCTGTATCTCTAGTTTGGAACCAGCAACATGAAATTCATTATTTTAGCTTCTCATAACTGCAAGAAAAGCAACTTGTTTCTTTATGACTAGAGGTGGAACACAACATGGACATCAAAGAACCTTGGTAAGCAGCACTGTCCACTTCAATATCTGGTTTGTCTGAAACCTGTGTTCATATGATTTGCATATTCATTTAGGAACAATTTTGCCTCAACATTGCAAGTTCATCCTACACTATTTATTTTCAGGAAAGCATCTGTATTAAAGTAACCTTTGGAGATACATTTGCCACGTGTAAAGAGAGAGATACTTTTGTCTAAAACCACTTTATGCTGCATTTACAATGGAAAGGCTTTGTTTCATCCCATTTATTTCCTGTGTGCATTTCTAAGAAATTACCCAGACTATTGAATTCCAGTTTTGCATATATTTATTCCAATGTTCTACTAAAAACATTTTGGCTGGTGCCAAGTGCATTTGCAGGTGTTGAGCCTCAATCCAAGGCTGCCCTGTGTTACACACTAACCAGCAGCCTTACCGAATTTGCAAGCAAGGTCTCAGGGCTGCTTGGATTGTCACCAGTGCAGGGACAGAGATGTCAGGGGATCTGTGCCTTTACTTGTGGGGGATCAATGGGAGCCTCGGGGGCAGTGCTGCTGGACACTTTCTGCTGGCCAGCTCTTTCTGGGGGGCGGACTGGGGGTGGAACAGCAGCATGTGGACCATGAGCAAAGGTTAACTTGTGCTCTTCCCACAGCAAAATTAGTATTTCTCAATTACAATCCAAACTCTGATTTTTAATAGTCTGCATAGCATTTCAACCTTGAGTTCTAAGGAACCATGAAATACTCTTGAATTAAGATACCTGGGAAGTCTACTTGTATCAACTGAATGCAATTATTAGAATTTAAAATAATTGGAACATTTCAGGTCATCTGATAAAAGCTTACTATAAAATCCAATATGGTTTTGTGATAAATCCAACCTTGACATGTCTTACCACAGCTTGAAAAATTTTCTTCTGAACTACTTTTTATCAAACCTAAAAAAAGGGACCATGACACTGTTAATTATTGAACTGCCAGACTGAGAGAGTACTAGGCTTTCCAGATACATGACTGATGACAACTTTAAAAGTAAAGTGTCAAAACCTACAGGCTCCAAAACATGACACTTCAAAAGTTAAAAAGGCT